CTTTCCCGTGTTCCCTTTTTAGGCCTTTGTTTTACGACTTAACAATGCTGCTGTCTTTATAGAGGCAGAAAAGTTGGGTGATTTGCGCTTTTAACATTTCAGATGGTCAGGCAATAAGTTCTTTTCTGTATGGATTTGTTAAGTAGCCAAATTTGGAAGCACAAATGCTTAACATAATACCAATCTTGAATGAACCATGCTTAGACCCCAGCACAACTTGATAACTCTAGATTAACCCAAGGTCAATTTTGTTCTTTGGTTGTTGACATGATTAAGTCAAAATTGCACAATCCGAACCACCAACAGTTCTAATACCTTCCAATCCGTTGCAGAGAAGCGGTGGGAGCAGTAGGAGATGAGTTTCTTCATTAAAAACGGCACAATACATCTTGGTTTAGACGATGCGTTGGTCTTTCATGGTTGGGACAGCTCAAGTGGATCTGTTTAGTTTCCACAGATGATTCGATTTACCAGTGCTTTTTTAAACAGGAATGAAATGCTCATTATAGATGCCAGAAAAGTCACTCTGTTTACACAGTATGAGTCTCAGTTTTTCACACGTCACTCGCCCAAAGTGATCTCGCTCTCTACTTTACCTGATTAACTGTTTGTTTAGTTAGTTTCGTGACTGAGCGTAAGCAGTCGACAGGCCAATTGGTTTTAAATGGTCCCTACTTTTTTTCATTTCCACTACCGCAAAATGTTGAGCTAGTCATAAACAGTGACTGTGACTGCAACACCGTGACTAGTACCTCATGAATTTGTAGTAAATATACAAGCTGAAAGTATGATGACTTGGTATTTGTTTGAACACTGCATTTGGAAATGCGAACGCTACGACCTGCAGGTTCTACTGCCACCTAAGTGAAGTACTCTTCGCCCATGTTTGTCCTCCCCCTGTTCTTTTGCCCGATGTCACAAGTCAACCATTGTGTACCAGTGCGCCTTATTTTGCCTTCAGCAAGGACCCAATACTAGTACAAAGGTGTCCCTAAATTCAGTGGTATCTCAAGTGAAATCATTGTCAGTTAATGGCATGGATACAGGTTTATGTTAGACAGACAGATAAATAGACGTACAGCTGGAGGGGTAAACGTATTTACTTGCCCACTTCCTTAATAAAGTTTGATAAGTCTAGGAACCTCCCAAAATTCCTAATAGTCTATCGAGGTCGTGTAGATTTCGAATGTCGATGCTCCAAAACTGGTGATTTTATGGAATTTGTTGGACGTGATTACACTCTAGTGGGATGCAGAAATCCACGTCTATCGTATCACTTGCCACCACAGTACTAACAATTTTGTTCCCTAGACTGCCTCACTTAAATCCAAACCAGTTTATTTGTGTCGCATTGATACTAACGTTTTTAGCGGTGCATGAATATTTACGAGGTGTTTTTTTAACAACGCATGCGGAAGTAGAATGTTTTTCTTCATGTTCTAAAAGGCTGCACCTCTGTTTATTCATCGGTTGTCACTGTGTTACGGTCTAAAATAAAGGGTGCACTTACAACTTTCAAAAGAAGAACAAGCACTTTCGCTTCAATATGAAAAATCTGTAAAATTTTTGGGTGTATATGCATCAAGACCTGTCATTCCTCTGGCTGGAAATCGTTAGACAATATTTCATTCCTCTTAGCCATAAGAAAGTAGTGAATTAGCAATGATTTGTTTGGGAGACTGCCTATTGTCAAACGGAAGATGTCATCATTCAAGCTTACACTCGACAAAGGTTACAATTCTAATTTATGGCTTTTCTACATCTTAAATGAATATTTTTTGTTTGGGCTACTGTTTTTGAAACAAATTTGGTCAAGTGTGCCAGCCAATGATTGTGTGTCAATAAAGTGGGCCAGTCTCCTCTTTTTTCAATTAAATATTAACAATCCATCCAAATCTACGAATACACAAATCTACCTATTTTTTTGATAATTAATAGCCCAAGTTTTGGTTGAAATGTCATCTCTAATTTACTGGTAGTAGGTTGCAAGCGACCCTGATTAGAAGCAGGAGCTGAAATGAAAATACAAATTGCAACACGTCCTAGTTTCAAATATCCGTGAAGCAAGTGAATAGTACCGTGTCAAGTCTTAGGTGAGTTTAGCAATTTGAGAATGAAATGTTTGACTGAGTGAATTTTCCCCTTTCCAAGGGATTCAACACTCATAAACTTTAATTTCACCCATGCACGGGTTAAAGATGCCCATCAGTGTGTCCTTAAAACGCGTTAGATTAGGAATGTGCTGCCTGGAATGTTTTTGAGGCGTATTAAGTAAAATCACCTTGTGTACATAACCCACTAATATATCTTCCGAATGTTGCACCTTTGATGATAAATAACACTAGCGCATACATCGCCACATTCATTGAACCTCACAAAAGGAATTTATTTAAACCATTATGTGAAAAGTAATGTCTTCTCCCCCTCCCAAGCCTTCGTTTTCAAAACACTGGGTTTAGGCCCACTTGCATCCAGGCCTCGCGCCACTAAGTTTTGGGGTCAATCGGTCATGCACAGACCTCGTGACTTCTCGTGATGGTTATTTTGGCTGGATTTGTGGGTTATTTAATTGCTTAGTCGTGTATTTACGCGCATATGATTAAGGAGTCAGGAGGCCTGTACGAAAAACAAAATTTCCAAAGGCACTGGTAGTCACTTTGTAGAATTCTGGCCTGCCGAAAATAATCCAGAGTAATCGCCATTGTTAATTGTTTAGGTAAGGTCAGCGGTTATGGTCATCTCGCTTGACATTTGATGGATGTGCATCTACGGGCACATTCTCTAATTTTATACACATTTTCATATCTCCTGTTTACCCTCTCGTAGACCGGATTACCACTAACGCTGGTTCGCTTTTCCATTAGTATTAATCCTCTTGGTCCCTTTGCGCTAACTTCTTTTGCCTAGCAAATAATGGTCCTCCTTTTTACGCAAGCAGAGGACTGAGTGTAGTTAACACATTAACTTATCTCTTTAGTTAATTCTGATGTGTCCAATTAAAGAAGCACGATACTTGGGGTGACCCATAGTCTGAACCTTGTTTCGATGTTCATTGGTTCACGATTCAGTTTCATTCTAAATTGAAAACTAACACTGATCTGATACTGCAATCTTAAACCAACAAACTCCTTAGGCTAACCTTTAAAATATTAAAATGACTACACGTGTCTAACTTAGGACATTGTTTTAAGCCTCTTATAGTCATACGCTCTGGTGAATAGGTTCAACCGAAAATCAAAACAACAAGCACATACTTTTGTCAGAAAAGCTGTATTTTTTTCTAATTAAGCCTACTGGGTCTAAGATTAATGGACGAACTGCTCCTCTAATTACGTGTGACTCATGTAAATAAAGTGGGTATATGTCAGGGGGTTCTAATCACAGATACGATTTTAATTCATTCGATTGAGTGCAAAATGAGTTTTGTTCTAAGGCTTGATAATTAAGGCACATTTATTTCAACATCTAAATCAGTTGTTTTGCATTTTGTCCTTATGCTTTGAGGTCCGTACTCTGATGAAACAAACATTGCCTTACCAGTCTGATCGATGGAAGAGCTTGGCCACTTACCCCTTTTTAACGTATGTACTTTTGAAGGGCTTTGATTCATTTACATGCACCTCCCAAAATCGATCAACTTAGTCGCCTTACAATTGCAGATCGACTTAATCCAACCAGCACTTAGCTCTGGATTCACAATTTCAGAGCTTTTAGTGATGTATTGAACTCCGTCACAGTCGAAGCGGTGTTTGGTAAGACTGTAGAGGAACACCAGCGCTATTACATGAACACCATCTAATCAGACCGTCATGGCGAAAGGAGAACCTGGGTTCCTGTATGAAGTAGGTCAGATGAGGTCGAATAAATACGTTAATTTTAATCAACGCTACCGATACCTGTAAAGGGCTTGATTCTCTATGATGCCAACTTAATCTGGAATTATACACAAGCTGACAGTTACGTCGCCTCAATACATGCAGCCAGATCCCCAAACACTCCGGATAATACGGCGCACATTTGAAAAACGACATCATGGAAAAACATAAAGATCTAACACGTTCCTCTGTGCATAACTGATCACCGAGACCACTTCAGACTAATCAACTTCCTTACGTAGTCAACAAGAAAATTTTAGAAGAATCATCCCGTGGTGACAGGTGGATCGTAATGAGTAGCTTAATTGGCAGTTTGAATTTAATCTGTATTGACCGCCGTAAAAAATTGCACCATGCTGGAGAAACTCACATTTGTTTCAGACTACATTAGTCAATTAAGTGTTCAATTTATAAGGAGCAACACTTAAAATGGATTGCATATGTTGATAGAAAACTTTAACAACCTTAGCGGTGTCACACATCGGTTCTCCAACCTTTGTTACACGGTTAGTTTGTTGGTCTTGATACGTGTAGCAATGACTCATCATCACGGTATCGAAAAATCGATAGTGATCGGTTATGAAAGCTACATTCTTAACCAAAAAAATAATATGTATTTAACTACTTACTCGTTAAAGGCACCCCGCCCGAATACAGTTGCCCAACCCCCAAACCATTTTGCGCTACTTTATGAATCCCACAGCCCACGACTGGTTCACCGTCGCCATTGTAGTGCTAATATCCACCTAATCGATGGGGACGAGCACAAGGTAAGACCCGATCTAGGCATCATGGCGAATAAAGCATCGAAGCCACAACCTTTAAAATGTTCACTCAGACAATTGAATCCGAATCGTTTACGTCGACACTCACTCGTAGTGGCAAAGACGTCTGATGTTCCCCGCCATCTTCCCCGTCCAAGCCTTACTCCCTGAACTGGAAATCAGACGTCTCCAAAACCACCCATAAATAGGGTTGCCTGGCCGTTCACAAAGCAAAAATCGAGTGTGGAATAGCACGTTTATTTAACACAACTTTGCTTCGTATAAAACGATCAGAATAGACAGAGCTCAAGTTGCTTGCAAGAGCAAAGCGAGTCTGTGAGTGTACCACAAAGCGCGGGCGTTACAGGAAGGAAGTTGTAGTATATACAGAGGCGAAAATGCATTGAGGGTTGCGAAGAAATGGAAATGGATCAACAAACACTAACCAAGGTAGTTCACGCGCGCACGCACACACAAAGATCAGAGCTACTCTATTCAAACATTACAAAAAAATAAGAAACTGTGGTAGTGATAGAGTAAACAGACGGAGACAGACAGAGGGAAAGGAGTAAGGATGCGACGAAAATGCCCAAGATGCATGGAGAAGAGGAACAACAGATAAAACCGGCTTCATAGCACGATCAATTTATTTACCTCCTCGTCACGGAGAGTCACTGGCTTTCGACTTTACCATGCCAGGGGGGAAAGGCGAGAAGTTTGGGTTCCTAGAGGCAAAAAATAGTGCTTTGGCAACTAACAATGTGGCATTTTCTCCAAAACCCCTAGCCAAAACCCATCCGTAGAATGACAAAAAGCTGCAAAATTTCGGGAACATCGACAAAGCACGGAACGCATGACGAGAAACCAAATCACTCACACGGTTTCACAGATGGAGTACGTGGACGAGGATCAGAAAGCCTAACCAAACTTTGGAATAGGAAAGTTATCGAATAAACAAAAGGAGTTACACAAAGGCCACAATTTCGAACATACCCGTGGATAACGTTCTGCACATCGAGGGCTGCATTCGGAGAACAAGATGGCTTCACATTTGAGTCCGAGGTGGGAGGAGCATTGGAACCGCTGTTCATTCCACCACTTGAACCATTCCCACCAACGTTGGGAGCTGGACTACTGCCAGCCTTGGACATTGTTGGTCCACTCTGACTCGATTGCTGCGAAGCGAGGGTCTGCATCTGTTGTTGTTGTTGTTGCTGTTGTGTCGCTGCCGCTGCCGCCGCTGCTGCCGCAGCCGCGGATACTACTGCCAACGGTTGAGATTGCGACGCAGCCTGAGAAGGCGGTTGTGGTGGCGGAGGCTGATTAGCGGGCTGTGACTGTTGCTGTTGTTGACCAGCTAGCCCGGAGAGGCTAGCAGCGAAATTGGGAGGCAGGAATGGAGGGTATGGCGTGGGTAAACCACTTTGTGCAAACTGAGGATTTGCTCCACCCGGTGGAGGCGGAATGAGCGCAGGAATGGAGGAGGGAACGTTGTTTCCCAGCATACCACCGGGACCAGCAGCTCCATGCGGACCTTGAAGAGCACCATTATTTGCCCCCACCGAATTGGATGGCCCGCCTAGATTTGCGGTGGACGCAAAATTTGCGCCAAGAAGAGCTGGAGGTAAGGTCAGACCCATGGAATTCGCTCCAGCGGCACCCGAGAAAGGAGGCATGGAAAGGACGGCCGCCATGGCGGTCGCATGATTGTTCAGAGCAGCAGTGTTGGCAGCAAGAGCGAGAGGATTGGCATGGCTATTCAGACCGCTGTACAGGCTGGTGGGGGCGCCCACGAGATACTCCTTGTTCACACAGTTTCGCAGCCCACCAGGACCTCTGTTGAGAACTGCTCGACGAATTTCATTAGCCGCAGCCTCACGCATTTCCCGCACACTGTTTTCACTGTAGTAGGACATATGCGGTGTTACGATAAGGTTGGGAGCATCCTTGAGAGGACCTAAGGGAGGAGAAAGGAAGGAAATAACTATACTTAATTCTCATATCCAGGACCCCCGTCATGCGACCATATTAGTCACACGCGCACACGCCGAGCCTGACAACGCCATTCCAGTGACTCACTACCACATGTCCATCCCCCAGGCACAGCTCCGAGCTTTATTCTTACCAAAGGGAAATAGTAACCAACACGCACCTGTCGTTAGATCAGAGTCAATCACGTCGAGAGCTGCAGCCCTAATAACCCCCGATTTAAGAGCGGCGGTCAGAGCTGCCTCATCAATGAGACCAGCTCTTGCAGTGTTGATTAAAAATGCACCTGAAACAAAAATGAAACACACTAGAACCGCATTTCCGATCCCAAATTCAGATGGACCAAGACCAGTAATACCTTTACGCATCATCTTGATGGTGTCCGCATTGATCATTCCACGATTCTGATCGTGAAGAGTGCAATGGAGAGTGACACAGTCACTTTGGTAGAGGAGGTCCTGCAAATTGTAGACTCGAACAATGCCAAGAGACCTCTCAATACCATCCGATAGATAAGGGTCGAAGAAGGCAACTCTGAAGCCGAATGCCATGGCCCTCAAAGCTACGGCAGCGCCAATGCGACCTGGAAGGAAAGGTTACTGTCAAATCCCACCCAAAGAAAGTTAACATATGGGAACAACCTCACTACGATTAAAATAGGCGCTTCAGTGGCTCTACATGTGACGAACAGCCCAAGCGCTCAAAAATGATGTTACATAGTGCTACAATGACTGACATTGACAACGCTACACGAAGTGCCACAAGTTGGTGTGAGCACACAAGCATGGTCACAGTAACTGGTGCATAAATAAAATACGTGAAATAACACCACTTTCACAAAACCGAAACAGTCTGAAGAGGCTCATCCACAACGTTCACAGCCACAGACATAGAGCAATAATGGTTACAAGTTTTCAAATACGAAAATCGATGCACCTTGTTTATTTAAAGTAAATGCAATTAAAGGAGGGAAACAACCATTAAAATCGTGCTTACCAAGACCGACTATTCCCAGTGTGTCGCCTCTTATGCGAGCCGTTCCAGCAGCGGCGTCCTTTAGTTGTTCCGGTCCACTTATTCTCTTTCCACTGCGAACCATGTCAGCAAGCCAATAAGTTCTTCGGTACAAAGTTAAAATATGTGACATCGTGGTGTCAGCTGCCTCTTCTACGCCATAGCCAGGCACGTTACAGACTGCAATACCTAGTTCTCCTGCCGCTTTTATATCCACGTTATCGAAGCCACTGAAATGGGGATGGGTAAAACTGGGTAGACAAAGTTTACCTCCCAATTCTGACAATTATCTTGAGGCTCTTAAACTTTTGGAGATCTTCTCTGGTGAGAGTGATTGAATGCCATAGGAGAGCTCCAAACGCCTCGTTGAGAACCTTTTCATGTATTTCACTTGTGCCTGAAGCATCGCAAAACGCCACAGTAGCTACATCTTTGAGCAGTGGCATCTCTACCGTGCAATCTCTCCCATCAAGCAAGGCCACCAAGGGTCTAGTGTAGTGAGGACCATTTGGACGAGCTCCAGCCATCTTTAAGATTTGGAAAAAAAGATTTATATACTTTAATGGCTTTATAAACAATGAGTACAGGAAAACAATGCTTACCCTGATCGTAGTTTTATTTGATGAAATACCTTCACAAATTGACCAAAATCAAAGTAAAAAAGGGTTTGGTGGAAGAGTAGCGTCGGGCGAGACTCTAACGTTCGTAATGACGCAGGCGAATGACATACGAAGGAGTGATATTTTCATTTTCAAGCAAATCATTCCAGGCCGAGGTTCCTTAGCATTAATGTTAACACAGTTTAGGCCGCGTGCGCGTGCATGCTCGCGTGCGTGTGTGCATGCCTATGTGCGCGCATAACATCGTTTCAACCACCACCCACCGATAGAAAATCGAAGACACGCCGCAGACAAAGCTTGAAGGAGCTAGAGGGAGAGTGAGAGCGAGAGCGAGAGAGGGGAGAGGACGAGAGAGTACACTGATGGGTGTGTGCGTGTATGAGTAGGATAGAATTTTCGCCCATCGTTGATCCCCCCTTTAGACTCCCTCTTTAGCTCCCTCAACCAGGCTGTCGCATTAGTTGACGACAAATGTTGACTGGGTTTAAGCAGACGCGTTTTTACCGCACGTACACAGTGAGTGTGGAGAGTAGAACTCTTGCACGCTTCAATGGCGCTCGCACGCCCGGACATGAAAGCTAAGGCGTGGCCCGAGACACATGAACAAACGAGTGTACAATGCACAAAATTACCAACCCTTTTTGAGTTCACACATGACTTCTTTTTCCAGAAACATTCAATTTTAGTGCCTTAATTAATGCGAACCGTATCAAGCAAACTTTCTCAGTACTGCTCTCAAGCTGACTTCATTTCAACCGTTAATTTTAACTTGGCCTACTCAACTTGAAATGAAAGAAGGTCAGTAGATGTTCGAGTGCATTCGGTGCTCACATGCCTGTTCTGACTGGAACTGAGTCATAATACTCGCCTTTAAATCGAATTGTGATTACGCAAAGGAATGTATGTTACACAGTCGTGGTTTTTAGTGTATCTTTTTCACAGTTTTGGCGTCCAAGCGCGAAATTAGTTACCTGCGCACGCTAGAGAGAACTAATCTAGCCTCTCATGGCACAAAGAAAAACAATGAAACGTGTGCACGCACATACATACACGTGATTAGACGAAAACTGGGCCCAATACACAAGCGCAGGCACACCTACGCACGCAGGAACATATGCGCGCGTGTGCACACCGTCTGGGACGGGCATGTACATACGCACGTCCACCTACACACACAATGGTGCACCAGACCTCACACCTATATTGTACATTAAAACTTGTGTCCACAGCATGAAACACCAAGCCAAATAAGAGTGCGTATGCATATGTTCCTGCGCCTAGGGCGTGTATGCAACCTTGTAGTTGGGGTTCGCCACCTCCACTTCCTAGGCATGCGTGCATGCGTGCGTGCGTGCGTGAGTGAATGCATGTGTGCTGGTAATTAGGGCACACACATACAAGCCTGGTTAGCCGAGCCACTTCGAGTTAACCCTAAGTCATCGTATATGTGGGGGCGTGTAGTAATACCAACTACGATGTCGTGCTGTGCACTTCACTTAAGGACTTCCCAACCGATCGATGCATTGATTTTTACACAGTGCGCGAGTTTATGTAAATTTCAAACAGTAGTAAACACGCCCTCACGTCCCAAGTGCATCCAATGTTCATTACTGGCGCAATCACATTGGGAAGGAGAAATATAAAGGCTTAAACATGTCAATACTGTTTATGGTTTTTGTTTGCTTCAGAGCAGACACTTTGCGTATAAAGTTATTTCACATACTTACACGCGCGCACATGCGCAGTTTTCTCAAGTCACCTACATCTTCCTCAGGTAATAGACGTGTGTACTTTAAAGATAAGACAAGTTAGATCAGCCTAATAGTAAGAGACTCGTATTTCCCGTTTCCGCTTACATAAAACTAAGATCTGTGTATGAGCATACGGGTGACTATTTACTGCTGTACAAAAAAGTTCGAGCGAAAATGAAGCATGCCCGTCAGATATCAGTTAGCAGTGCCGCCAAAGGTAAGGCTTGATAACAAGTGTAACTGCCGCTGACTCTTGTAACCGTTCCAGGGTCAAGCGCAGTAATCTGCGTGAGCAGAACAAGGTGAGCTGTAAGAGAACTTATATTGGCTGAAGTCCTTACTGCTATACTGATGTATTAAACTCCTCTGATCATAATTCTCACGTTAAAGCTGGGCGTTCATTTACATAACGACTGATAATATGCTAATGGGATATGTTACTGGGTCGAGTTCACAGTGTATGGAATGGCATTCAGTAATTTATGCTAGAAAACGGCGATGTTAAGCCTTACCAAAACGCGCGTCAATTTAATCCGACACGAATAAACTTTACGAATAAAGCTAGCAACTAATGCATAATTTGACCAGGTGTGACCCTATTTGTTGGCTTTATCACGCCTCACACTCGCTTTATTTGACCCTACCCGAAAACCGGTCGGGAAGATATGGGGGGTGGAAGTGGAGAGCGGGGACGATGAAGGGATTCGAGACATTTGTGATATTGTCAACCCCGGTTTGAGATTTAACCCCCTGAACATCAGCTGCTATCGTGACTACGGTGACCATCTGATAGGGTTTCATTTGAATCACACGCAAAACGCACAAAAAGTGAGTCAGATTGGCTTATTGGAGTATATTGCCTCTATCTACCTGAGAGAGTGTGTATGTTTGCAGGCTTGCAACATCATGCGTCCAGCAAGTGGTACACACTTGCCATCTGAGGAGTCTTTCTTTGAAGTTTAACCGGGGTGGTTTGCATCGGCGTGTAATTTTATTACACCAACGAGGATTTGATGCAAGGCAGGATGCGTGTGTGTACCTTCAATTACCCACGGAAGTCTTATATGTTCATTTAAAATTACCACTTATTTGGTAATTCAACCTCTGAACTGAATAGCAGACTTTGCAACATCTCATATGGGCAGGCATCAGTTACAATTCCTTGAAAGGCCACTTTGCCTTTTGCTAGCACATGAGGAGTAAGTAAAGATTGCAATGGTCGGTTCTAGGAGAAATCTTCAAGGCCATATTTGAACATTTTAATGATTAGTTGAATAAAAAAGTATTCTTTAAATGAGAAAGGTAATAAGGTGCAGATAACTCATCATTTTTACGAGGGACTTAGGAAGAGTACTGGGTTTTGGATACTAACCCAGACCATTGGAAGATTTTAATTTCAAAATGAATTAGGAGTAGAAAGAGGTGGTAGTAAAGTTTGCCTTGGTTTCCGTTTGGACTACGTGGGTTCATCCCATTTGTACTCGAAGTAGACTGGATAGATGTTAAAACACCACAATTTACTGGCATAATGCATGGTATTTCCATGCGATTAAGAGGTGGACCCATAAAGCAAAAGATGGGTTAATTTTTATGCTCTCCGTGACGCAAGAATTCAACCATGTAGGTGAGCTACCCTCCAGGCAAGCCAAAGTGATGCTATGCCAAGTACTAACGCCAAAGTGGCGCTGTGAAATACACTCCGCAGACTTGTGCAACAAAGTTGAACTTTGTTTCGAAAAGCACGGAAGCTGCGGTGACTCATTGTAAAGTCAACAATATAAATCCAAACGGGCATCGAGACAGGACCCCTAATGGCTTTAAGACGGTGTGGGGAGTTGTTGAGGTCAGGTTTTATTGGGCGTCCCATATCCGGGTTGCTACCGTCGGGGTAGGCGTGCCTTTTAAAACAACGCTTGGGTGAACCCTTACCTTTCACCACTATCGGCAAAATTGTACGAATACATTCACTCATTCCAAATGCACCTTTTTCACCAACCGAAAATGCTGACTTCAAAAAACAACTCTGGTAAGTTAAAGTAGGAGCAAGTGCTAATTCATTAATCCTAGAGGGTATTCAGGAGAGGCACTTTCCAAATTACAAGTGTCTGAGAGTGCTATTTTCCATTTAGTCCCTAACGTAGGATAGACTGAATTCGTTAATTGTAGTTATTTGCCAACTTATCTCAACTTCTTGTCATCACTTATTGAAACAAACTCAAAGTGTCTACTGAACACCTTCGAAGGATAATGTTTGTCTTTCGCAAACCGACTCGTAAGAAGAGATAGAAGCGAATGGTACAGATTTAAAAGTTGATATGCTTCATGCATGCATGCATGCATTGATATTGTTAAAAATCTTCCAACGCTAAAACGCAGACTGACAAATACACCTTAAATCCAAAATACGCCTCGATTTCAACGAGGTGCATGAGGGATAGCATGGTTTGGTTTATTGTTCTGAGGGCATTCAATTCGTCAGGTGAGTTGCTGCAATTGGAATCAGAGATTACACATCAGGACGACTCTTAGACAGACAATAAGGATGGCGTTTTTTCACCTATTTAAAATTACAAACGTGCAAAAGGTAGCTGCTAAATTTAAACCACAGGATACATTTTCATAAAGCATAAAGCATAATCAGTTGCATCTTTTAGGCGAATTTATGTTTTTCGGGCTACGGCAATCGTTTATTACCCTGCCCTATAATTTTATTTTGTCCATTGATTTGAGTAAACAATTGTGGAAGACCTTATTGCGGCCTAACAAACTGGCTAGTCGACTTCAGTAACCTCTAAAATGGTGGTGCTGAGGTATGAATAAAGATACATGAATGGCAGAGAAGAAGTCAAGGATAATGCGTAGCTCAGCTAATTGGATTCGGTGGCACTATTTTTTCAAGTGTATTTACATGGAATCTGAGATGGAACTCCCAGATTGTAGATTTGATTGAATTGAAAAGCGAAGTTAGCTTTAGGCAAGCTGTGGCCTTGATTGTTATACGACTGAAAGGACAAACAGTAGCGAAATGGTTTGGCTAACTTTTCACCTTGATTAGATCACCTACTGCATGTATCGACATCACATTTGACTCCACCTCATGCCCAAATTCCAATTTTCTATTTTTGCCCTTTTTCCATTGTTTGCATGGTGGGTAAA